ATTACACAGCAATGAACAATATTTGTAGCTTGAATAAATAATAATCAATTGCAGAAACATGTATTAGTCTGTTATGGAGGAGCTACATCTATACCAGACTCTATTCTGTTTGTATCAAATTCTGAATGACTTTTAAAATATTGCCAGATTATCGTCAAATAATTTTTTTTTTTGAATGAAGTAAATTCGAATTTTTTGTTAGTGTCCCACTGAGGGCTGGTACCAAAGGACCTATGGACTGGTACTGGTCCGCGAACCAGGGGTTGGAGACCCCTGATCTATAGGTTGTTCCGTTTAAAACCGGCCCTTCAACAGGAACTGTATTGCTGATGTGGCCCCCGGTGAAAATGAGTTTGAAACCCCTGATGACAGACTATGCTGAGATGCTACAAACAGCTATATTGTCAGATGCCATTGAGTTTTCTATAATAATGAATCAGGAAGTGGAAGTTTTAATTAAGAATGTTTACTGCAAGATGATTAACCCTTTGATGCATGACCTATGACATACTGAGTTAAAAAAATGTTAAGTACTAAGTACTAAGTGTACTAAGTACACTTAGTACTAAGTGTTTTTATGTGTTTTTAGACATAAAAATAAGAACTGATTTGGTTCTGTTTTTATACACCAAATTTTCTTTTTGAATGTTAACACAATTATTCTGCAGTTACTGTATGACAGTGTTGGGTGATTCTCAGGCATCCACCGTAGAGGCTTATATGCAACACTGCCATCAAAACCTATTCTTATCATAGAAAATGAGAAAATTTTAATAGCTGTCCACTGTAGTGACCGTCATGCATGAAAGGGTTAATAGCAGCGGTCCCCAACCTCGTTTGGCACCATGGACCGGTTAAATGTCTGACAATTTTTTTCACAGACCGGCCTTCAACGTGTGGCGGATTACTACAACTAAATAAAATGATATGACAGACGTAAAAAAAATGTATTTTATAAGTATAATAATAAAGGTTGTGTATGCAACTTTATATGCAGCATCCTCGTTACTTTGCACTTTTCTTTGAACGCAGCTTGGTCTCTAAGTGGCAAAGCAGTTTTGAAGGCTTTATTGCCTCATTAGCCTATTATATTATGTGATTTGGTGCGTCGAAACAAGCTAAAAAACAAGCATATTTCAAGTAGGACTCCTGGTCTGTTAAATGCAAATTTTGTCTACTCACTGGTTCTTTTACCCTGAAAGAAACTTTCCAAAGACGTTTGTTTATTGTTCATTTTGCTAGCTTGAAGGTACTCAGTTTAGTGGTACTGTGTCATTTGTTACCAGCCTTTTAAGAAGCTAGCGCATGTAGGTAAGACGTGACCGAGGCAGTTAGTGTGAGTCATAGACGTATGTGGATAATCTTCTCTCTTCCTTCCAAAAAAGAATCCAATCATTTTTCAAAATAAAACATCGTTCAGAATCAGATAAAAATACAATGGAAATAATGTGTGGCCCAGTACCAGTTGACCCATGGACCGGTGCCGGCCCAGGGTTGGGAACCAGTGATTTATAGCAGGGCTGTCTAACTCATTTTCACCTGTGGGCCACATCAGTAATACAGTTCCCCAATTATAAATGGAAGACTGTATGGATGTAAATACTCCATAACGCATTGATAAATGTTTCTGCCATTGGTTAGTATTATTTATTATTCATATGTATTATTTAAGTTACAAATATTATAAATTGCTGTGAAATAAACAACATAAATATGTTGATCACCCGCACCATGAAAGGAAGGATTTCTTAAGCAAAGGGGAAGGGTAGAAGTTTCAGATCAGTTTGCAGCAGTTTGGATTTAAGCGCAGATATTAGCTTAGCTTTGAGAATGTCGCTTAAAGAAGAGAAGTTCTGACAGATCAGTTCTCAGAACCACTTGTTTGCATTGATGAAATTGCCATTAAAAAAAAGGGGCCAATAAAAAAATCTGAATGTGTTTTAAAAGCCCAACATTAACATTTTTATGTGGGATTTGTTATGTATTTATTTAGAGAATTTATTTTTATTTTTTTTAACATTTTTCTCTTTTCCTGTTTTCAAGCTGCCATCCAATGAAAGGAGAGTGCACATGCCAGCCAGGTTGGGCGGGACTGTACTGTAATGAGTCATGTGCTCACGGTTTTTACGGTCACAATTGCCTCGAACCCTGTCTCTGCGTAAATGGAGGTGTGTGTGATAGCACCACTGGACAGTGTCATTGTCCAGCCGGATTTATGGTGAGTCATCATGATTTACGAATAGCAAATATTGTATTCAATTCTACTCAGACTGAATGATAATGTGTCGTTGCAGGGCGCTCATTGTGAGAGTCCATGTAAACGTGGCACCTACGGGGAGAACTGTTCCCTTGAATGTTCCTGTGAAAACTTCTTTAAGTGCTCACCGGTCGACGGGACATGCTTCTGCAAAGAGGGTAAAACAGCGCACCAAATCGGAGTACTAAGGAAAAGTCGAAATTCATATTTGACTGACAATGTCAACCATTTTGTGTTGCCTGTTTTTCCACACGCTTTTAGGCTGGCAGGGACCAAACTGCTCAGCCCGTTGCTCCGAAGGAACTTGGGGTTCTGGATGCAATTCCACCTGCCACTGTTCTAATGGTGCAAAATGTAACCCCACTGATGGATCCTGCACATGTACCACTGGCTGGCAGGGGCCACAATGTCAGCAGCCATGTCCTGTAAGTAGGCTTGTCACAAAGAAATGTTCATACAAAAAAAAAAAAGAACACAAGTAATTGAAACAATGTACTCGTCGACACTGTTGATACTGATACTCCTGAATATGAAATACATTTGAAGGCAAATGTATTATATGCCACACTGACGGTGGCACAACTCGGTGGGAAACTGGGTGACGTGCAGTGTAGCCATAAACTACAGTGAAGACACCTTACTAGCTGCTGCTATGCACCTGAATATAAGCCACACCCACTACATTTAAAAAGAAAAAAAATAATTATCACCTAATTATACTTATCAACAGTTGATGTACCGAAAAAGTATATTTTTTTCCTGAATTTTAACCATAAAAAATGTCAAAGCTACATACTGTATTTTAAGGCAAATAAGTGCATTGTTATTCGTTTTTTGAGAGACTTTTTTTCAGGAAATCATTAGCATAGTATGTTGCTTTTGATTAACCAAAATATTACCAATATATATATATATATTTTATATATATTTTTTATATATTTATACATTTATATTATTATAATAATATATATAATGATATAAATATATAATAATATTATTATATAAATTTATATATATATATATATATATAAAATATATAATAGTACCAAAATATTTTTTTATTAGTGCATAAATATTAGTTTTTGAGAGCATTTTATTTTTGAAAACTTTATAGGGAAATTATTAATACAGTGAAAAACCTCGGTTGTTGAACGC